TCCGTTTCTGGTCACAGTTGTGTTTCCGTGACGCAAGTTCTGCAAAGAACATGGCTGTCGTCTTTTCCAAAGTGGTGATCAAATTAACCTGTGACTCTCCTGGCCATCTGATAGTGCTGTGAGTCATTCCCCTGTTTTATTGGAGTTAACTGTGCCCATGATGAGAAGTCCTTCGAATTGAAAGTGTCGCCGCTGGGCATTGAGCACGTTGCCGCTCGTTTTATGGTTGGCGTTTCTCAACAGTGTTGTTTGAAAAGCACAATGTAGTTCCTGCTCTTCTTGGCTGTACTGTTTACCTATTCTACCGGGGTACTTCTCTAACTCTTTTACCTTCATTCCACTTCCTGTCGCATATTCTTCATATAATTAACAGTAGCCTTCCTCATTTAAAAAAGTGATGGATGGGCCATTTGTGTGCTACCACTTCCCCTACCAGTACAGTGATAGCTTTAGAGAGGTATGTACACACACACTAACAATATATGGCCATGAACAGTCCTCGGCTAAAATGTCGTTGGATGACAGACAGGGAGTATGTGCGGATGGTTTGTCATAGGCGCAACGTGTATTCGGAGGATGGGTGGTCAATAGTTATTGGCGGGATATGACAATTGTACCCTGCCTCTTTGTCTTCGCCCCTCCCATCCTCGTTTATTGTTTCTGAAAGGTTGTTAGGCGAACTTTGCATTCTGGCGTAGGTGTCCAGACAGGCATTCGAAGAGGGCGGAGCGACTATTCCTGTTGTGGTCACCATGACATTCGTCTTCTGATCTCTCTGTGTGACTCATCCATTCATTGATCGTCACGGGTAAGAGAAGCAGGGACGGATAGACAGAAGTCTTTTTCGTCGTGGGCGTTGGCAATATAGGTCGGCATCAATAGCGTTGTGTTGGTAGTGCGTGAGGAAGAGGGGTCGGTGTTGGGTGTACTTCTGGGTGAAATGACGAGCGGGATGAGGGATTTTCAATTAGCTATGAGATGTGCATCAGGTGCACTGTAGAGCCATACAGAGAATACATCTTCCCACTATGCTGGCTAAGTTTCCTATTTTATTCATACAAAAAAATCGATCAGATGCGAATTAGGGAAAGCTGAATCGCGATTCTTAACCAACAATTCTTTTGTATACGTACAACAATCTTGGCATTTTCAAAATACAAAATTATACGAAACAGTATCGTCCAAGGCTGCAGTCTCTATTTTCTAGTGACGCTGCATCGTCGACTAGATTCTGGGGATAAAATGTAGTACTATTACTGTAAAGACCGAACCTGCTTTTATCGATGCTGGCAGGTGCTAAATAGGTCAATGTTTCTTGATGTTGTTGTAGAGAGGGAAATCTTTAACGAATATTAACAGCGATATAGTGCATGAATGAGTTAGTTACGTCATCGGTCCTGGAAAAATATGTGATGAGAGAATGAAATAGCCAAGAATGGACTCGTTTTCATTGCGAATGTTTTGCCACTGCAATCGGATAGGATAATTCATTGATAAAGCACTCACATTTTGTTAAGCGAAGTACATGGAAGCACCCTTGGTTCTTTTCACGGTTCCTGATGAAAGATCGAAAATGAGAATTGAGATGTGATCTTTAGGACCTGTTGCGAAGTGAATAAAATGGGGATTGGGACCCTCCAATATCCTTCACATACTGGAAAGATAACTACGGCGACAAAAACCATTCTAATCTGGAAACCTAAAAAGTTTTAATTTAACGAATTATCTGGTTAGATTAATGTCGTCATGTTCAGTATTCTATTTTTCATTTTCACTATTCATTGCATCTATTTCAGATTGACCCTCCTTAGCAATTCTCAAGTTTCAAAGCAAGCATGGTACGCTCTCTTTTTTCATATCGCGCAAAATATATCGCACATCTGTGTTCTTTCTCATGACTAGCTACTAAATGCAGAAAATTGAAATAAGCATATTTCTTGATTTGTGTGATAATATGTTTTTGGCTGTAAAGGTGAAATGTTGTGAAAACCTAGGTAAAGTTCATTCAAAGCGTACATCATTACCATTCAAGTATACAGCTGTACTTTGTCATAGTTGTTACGACCTATTAATAAGAATGAATTTATTTTGTTACGACCTATTAATAGAAATGAATTTATGTTCAGATTTTTTTAGCGCGAAGTGATATCAGTACACGTTGGGCAAGCTGGTGTTCAAATTGGAAATGCCTGCTGGGAATTGTTTTGTTTGGAGCATGGGATTCAACCCGATGGACGTATGCCATCAGATAAACAAAGTCAAATTGACGACTCATTCTCAACATTCTTCTCAGAGACGGGCACTGGTCGTCATGTTCCACGGGCAATTATGGTTGATCTGGAACCAACTGTAGTAGGTGTGTAATAGCTGGTTAATTTATACTAATGTTAGATTAAAATATCCTTATTATTTCATATTTTATTTTTTGATTTTCCTGTGAATGGAGTATGAGGTTTAGATGAAATCAGAACTGGAACGTATAAGCAACTTTTTCATCCTGAGCAGATGGTCACCGGTAAAGAAGATGCTGCAAACAATTATGCACGAGGACATTACACAATTGGAAAAGAAGTAATTGATTTGGTGCTTGACCGCATCCGTCGTTTGGCTGAGAATTGCACTGGTCTACAGGGTAGGATTATTACGTCTTGTTTGATTTATTTTTTACAAGAAATATTTGTGGTAGGGTGCTTGAATTTCCATTAACGTGATATTATTTGAGGTTTCTTGATTTTCCATTCGTTTGGTGGAGGAACTGGTTCGGGTTTCACATCATTGTTGATGGAACGATTATCTGTCGATTACGGCAAAAAGAGCAAGTTGGAATTCTCGATATATCCTGCTCCGCAAGTTTCTACTGCTGTTGTGGAACCATACAATTCTATACTTACGACTCATACTACTCTTGAGCACTCTGATTGCGCCTTTATGGTTGACAACGAAGCTATTTATGATATTTGTCGTCGCAATCTGGATGTTGAAAGGCCGTCGTATACAAATCTTAATCGGCTCATTTCGCAGGTGTTTAGAATTTTGATCATATTTGTAATATGCAAGTATACTCAAATTGGAGTTGATTTTATTGTTGGCCATTTCATTTTTTCAACGTTTGAAGCTTGCGGTATGTTAGAGGTCTTATAATGTTATAAAGTGTGATTCTGCTCGTTTGATTATATAATGGTTGATAGACAATACATCAACATTTCAAAAAAAGCCTGAGATGTTACGAGGTCCATAAATTTTGGAGCTGGTATGGGGTGTTCATTTCATATGCATTCACAATCAGTAAAGCGAAGTATTGCAGGTTGTTTCGTCAATAACTGCCTCCCTTCGGTTCGATGGTGCTCTGAACGTGGATTTGACAGAATTCCAAACAAATTTAGTACCTTATCCTCGTATTCATTTCCCTTTGGCAACTTATGCACCTGTTATATCCGCGGAAAAAGCGTACCATGAGTCGCTATCGGTAGCAGACATCACAAATGCATGTTTTGAGCCAGCCAATCAAATGGTTAAAGTAAGAATGTTCTTATTGATCAAGAAAAATTTCCAAAATTTCTTTTTAAATTTTTGTGAATATTAGGAAAGTGACTGGTGGTTTACGCTACTGGCTTGGAGACCGATTTTGTAACATATATTTGCAGAAGCAATGAATATGGAATAAACGGGGAGGAAAGGGGAAAAGATAGGAAATGGTATTACTGCTAAAATAATTTGATAACGGTCATAATGTCATTATTGAATGTTGGATTAATACGTTTCATCCAATTATTATATGTACCATTAAATGAAAGCTGTGTTCTTTTTTACAGTCTTAGAATGTGGTATTTACAAATTTATAGGACCTAGCTGGTGGTCTGGTGGTAAGATTAACGCCACTGTACGTGAGGCTGAAAAAAATTATTTTGCATTTTTTCTGCCTCATGTACAATAGCGTTAATCTTACCACCAGACCACCAGCCAGGTCCTATAAAAAAAGAGAGGGAAAGAGAAGGATGCTGGCAGATTCAACAGGTTTTGAAACACCGTTTTTTCAGTGTGATCCTCGGCATGGGAAATATATGGCGGTATGCCTTCTTTACCGCGGTGATGTTGTACCGAAAGATGTAAATGCCTCTATCGCCAGCATTAAGACAAAGCGTACCATTCAATTTGTTGATTGGTGTCCAACAGGTTTCAAAGTATGGTTTTGACTTTGCTGTTGAAACATGAATTACCTTAATTGATATAGAAGTGCTTCTTTTTGTTGGTTATGAGAATTCTAGCTGTAGGTTCTTTTAGGTTGGTATAAATTATCAGCCACCTACAGTTGTTCCTGGAGGCGATCTGGCGAAAGTGCCTCGCGCTGTTTGTATGCTTGCGAATACGACAGCAATTGCGGAAGCGTGGGCGAGGCTTGATAATAAATTTGATTTAATGTATGCGAAGAGAGCTTTCGTGCATTGGTACGTCGGAGAAGGGATGGAAGAGGGAGAGTTTTCAGAAGCGCGGGAAGATCTGGCAGCTCTCGAAAAAGACTATGAAGAGGTTTAAGGATTATAATTATTTCGTTTTGAAATGAATATGTTACTATTATTTAAAGCATTTTTTAGCTTTTTTGAAGTTTTGCTTTCATATTTAATTTCTGTTGGGCTTTTTTAGAAGAGTACTAATTTCTGTTTTGAAGGTCGGAATTGATTCATTGGAGGGTGAAGGTGAAGGCGACGGCGAAGAGTATTGATATTCAGTTGAAATTGTAGCAAATCGTGACATTTTGTTGCTTGTTCCTTTTTTGATCCTTTTCTTTTTTATCTTTATATTAAGAATGATTTTTCTGTCCACTCCTAAGCAGAAATGTCTTCTTGTGTGTTTCGTTTTTAACACTAAATGATATATAAAGTTTTTCAGTTCCCGTTTGCTCTTGTCATCCGCAAAGTATGGTTTATGCTAGATTCATGGGCATTCTTTTTTCACTCCCAGTCCTAATGTTTCGTTATAACATTTTAGCTTGTGAGGTTGCTTTGAAAATACGCTATGAGACACGAAAAAAAGATTGAGCGAAAAAGAGGTGCTGTAGACAGAAAAGAAGGGCTAGTATCACTTGCGTGAGTCATGAACGCATGAAAAATCGATAATTTTATTGGAGTCTATATTGTAAGGGGAATCTCTTTGTGGGGTTTTACTATGGATTGGTTTGTATGGTTTATGGATCAGAAGAGAATCGGAATTTTTGATTGAGCATAATTCGCTGAAATGAGAAGTGGATTCGGTTTTGTTCGTTATTTTCGTGCTGTATGAGCTCTGAAGTACGGCGGGGTAGTGATTCCCCGAAATTTAAGTGGTTGAGGATCTTGCGAACGATCGATTACCGGTCACGGTTTGAATTACGACAAGAATAAGAGAAAAAAGTGAAGTGCTTTTTCCTATAATTATCTGAGACGTAAGAATGCCACCATAAGTATAAAATCTTACTGTTAGAATTGCTTGATGTATCGTGAAATTTTTCAATTAAATAGTTTATTGTTTCACGGACAATTAAAATAATAATTATAGTAAAGCTTTATTCGTCGTGGGAGATTGGTGATAATATTATGTGACAATTATATGTTAATAAAGGGAAATTTATTCTTGATTACTTGATGATTGAAGTAATCGCATGGAAGTTTTAATAGGGAATTGGTTAGAAGTTGGTCTAGTCGCAGTCTAGGAGAGTATAATTGATGAAGCCGCTTGAGCCTGACTGTTGATTGGATGATTGTGGAGTGATTCCTTGGAGTAGTAAGTCACATTTTATATACTCCCTTCTTTACTCGGTAACCACTTGATGTATAGACAGTTTAGTACTTGAACAAAAGTTACAAAGTCATTCGACGTATGAATAAGGACATGTAATCATTTGATGGATGAAAACTAGTTGCAACAAAAAATCATCTAGACATACAGTAGGTAAAGCCAATGATCAACCAACGATCATCTGGTCCTTTGAAAATGAAGCGTATAGTACAAAGTTATTTGATGTTTATCATTTACAGTGAATTGATATATTGAACAAAGCATATCTTATTATTTCATGAGAGTATTGATATAAAGAATTTCCATAACTTTCAAATATAATGGTATTTTGATTATATAGATACTTTACATTATAAAATTATTTCGGCTTTTCCAACATGATGAGTACGCAATTTCCTTACTGGTCAGATGGTTCATTGACTATGGATTGGTGTGGTTTCTATTTTTATCACATGCACAGATATTGAAAAATTTCGATTAACCACTGAATGTTCGTTGTCCTCAACAGTTTATCAATTGAGTATCATGCGTCAGAGATCTTATAGAGTTTAATTTTTCCCTGTTGTTAATGAAGAGTAAAGTTGGATTGATGTGGAGAGGAATTATTGTGTCATTTCATAATGTGTCGGTTTTGAGATAGGTACTGAAACATCATATTACACAAATTTATAACAAGTTGAGTAGCTCTGAATTTTTCATAAGTTCATTTTGTTCTTTTTCTTTTTTCTACTTCTTTGTGTTTACATTACGAGAAATTTTTAAATGATCTATCATGCAGCGAACAAGTATGTGGTTTTGGTTGTCGTAAGAACCGCCTTTAACATTATTACAGCCCATCAATTTCTGAGGATTTGTCAGTTTTACTCGGGAATTTAACGGTAGACATATTTTACAGTTGAAAATGCGCTTAAATTAAATAGACGAGGATGAGTCCGTTTGCTCAATATGTCATAAGTTACCAGTACGTTATATGTTATGCTCAGTAATCATCAACTTTCTATTGGTCTTGAATGGAAAGAAAATCAGTTTTATACTCATTTTAAAAAAAATGTTTTCAGGAAACATCGACATGTTAATAAATATAAAGAATTTTAACAAGCTTATTATGAATATTTATACAGAAGGCAACCATTATGACAGTTTGGTTGGTAGATTTTTTGTAGTGGCTAAATGAACTAGTTGTTCGTATTATGCTGAAAGAACTTTTTGATAATATTAAATAAACTTGTCTTAGATTGTGATACTTGCGAATCAAGCAAAAGCAGTGTTTTTTTTTTAACTTTCTGCTGAAAAATGTATGTCAAACAATATCGATTATTCTGTCTTCTTTTATAAAGCTATTGAAATGTTCGTATTTATTAAATAGATTGATGCCTGTTGAAAATCTTTTTTGAAAAGTTATTATAAAACTGATTTTTTTTCATTCAATGATTTAAGACTGATACAGAGTTGATGATTACGTACTGAGTAATTTATAACGAAACCCAGCGAGTGAACTTTTCATACACCTAATTAAAGCGCATTTTCGACGTATATGTGTGCTGTTAAATTCCTGTACAAAATGTTTAAGAAATGGTGAGATCCGCATTTATATTCCAGTGAGATGACTAATAAATAGCCAATTCATGCCATTGTTTTTGTTCTCTAAAATGCAAATGTGCATTTTATCATTTGAAAGCTATTCACTGAAGTGTTAATCTGCTTTTAGAGTATTCGAGAACGTTAAGATTTCTTCGCAACGCAATGCAGTAATAACTTTTGAGAGTTGTGAATCATCGCCACTTCTCTTTGTCATTTCTGTTCAACTTTCCGGCACTGCATCTCACATCATCAAACACATTAGAAAACATTTAAAAAAGGAGCCCAATGAATGACAAAAGAAATTGGAAGGTCGGCCAAATTCGCTTCTTTTGTATGAAGCCATTAACTGGCAGCTTATTATTTGTTGTATGTACCCTCTGTAGTATATTTGGATTGAGTGTATGCATTTGAATTCAAAAACGAGAAAAGCAAAGTTGAAGTCGTTCAGGTAGTCCATCCAGAACGGGAGAGAATCTCTTCAATGTTGATTTTGTCATTAATCGAGAGTTGCTTTAAGAAATATCATACTTTTCCAGTAGGAACTTCTGGTAAGCTCATTCTAAAGGTCTTTGTTCGGAAATTGCAAAATTATGTGTTTTAATATATTTTATAGTACCGTGAAGTCAAAGGGCATGTATAGTCGAGCCATGAGACACTGTGGGCTGTCACTGATGGAATGATTTGTTGAGAATATTTTTTTTGTTCCGCTGCTTTCAATCGCTCATAGAAGAGGCTGTGATTTTCTCCATCAACTTGATGCTAAGTCATACGAAGGGGTGGGTGTTTCCAATGTTCGACGACATTAAATGCTTTTTCAGAAGAGTAGGTTGACTGCCTTTTGCTAACCAGAAATCCTGTTTCTAACCTTGTCAGTAGTTCCTTTTCCGTAGAGGACGTCAGTCGCTTTTTCAACACCGGTAGTCCAGGACGCATATCTGAAGAAAAAAGTTGTATTTCCAGGCATGGAAGAATGAGTCAATCAGAAGTCAGTCATTTTTGAACACTCATGAGAAGACATCCAGAAATAGTAATATGCATTTATGGAGAGTTTTGTTCTCAGTGAAACGGGGTAGGAAAAAATCACGGCAGTACCGCGTAAAGTCACAATTGGAAAGCAGTACAACGGGCAAAAAGGAACAATATAAGATCGGAATCACTTCTCCATTCTCTAGAGGGTCATTTATGGACAGGGAACCTTTATAGCACTCATTTCCTTGTGGTTGGATGCTCACCGTTCCGCCCACTGTTTGAGCTTCTCACCTTTTTCCCTCACTGACCAGTATCTTATTGACGAATATGAGTTCCACAGCAAAGTTCGTCTTACTACGAGTACCAAATCTTTTTCATTCAGTGTTTGGGCATTTTAGTTCATTAGCTTAAATGCTTTCTTCAAAGGATGAACCAAGAAATGTCGCTTCAAAAAATGCAAGCAGTATGAGAAAAGCTTAAATGGTTGCAGTCTGATTGATCACTCACGCAAGCTAACTTACTGAGGGAAGATAAAAAATTAGGAAAATTTGGTGTTTGCAAGAATAAGAAAAATTTTGGTGTCCGGCGTTGTTGTAAGAAGTTCAACCCGATTCAGTTAATTTCCGTCGCATATTTCTGATTAGCATTTCACTTCTCTATTGTTGTCTCATCCAACCAGACGTCTGCCTAATATGTAACTATCGATCCAACGTCATTCATACAAAGTTCATGGCGGGAACACCTCCACTTGTCTATCCCTCCCCTCTTTCTTCCCTTTTCTTCTCTCATCTTCTCCGTTTCTTTCAGCTTCTCTGTTCTCTCAGCTTCTCCACCTTCTCCGTGCATTTCGTTTGTAACGCAAACAAAATGATCTCCCGCGCGGTTGCGAAATGGTTTAGTGGTTGATTGGGTGCTGCGCTCCTTCCTGCTCATTCCGACCTGGTTCTCATGTGCTTTCTTATTGTTGCTATCATTGTTAACGCTTGGTTTCTGTCAAAGATAGGACCGATAAACTGCGCTCGCAGGCCGATTCGTTTCGTTTGAAATCTCAGTTGTTCTTCATTTCGGTCACATTCTACCGCAAGTTAAAAATTTTCTCATCAGTTTGCCTTTCACGAAGCTTGTTAGCAATCGTACCGATTGATTGTCTTTGGTATCGCTAAAGCAATATTACATCTTATCAAGAAGAGATGTCTTGAATTTCTGATCATGTGCAACGTATGCTTGGGAGTTCTTGCTCTCTTATAATTGTCATTTCGAATAATGACACCTTGTCTGGGTTTGAGAATCATGAAGTACTTCCAGCCTTTTTAATGTACAGTATTTCCTGATGGCAAACTTCTGAAAGCGGCCACGGCCGTCTTTTAGTCACCCAAATAGTTTCTCTGGCCTTTGCTT